CTCATACATATTCAGTACCATCGCACTCACTTACCTCCGTCCTCAGACGCGACGCGACGCCATTTTACCTTTTTATATTTATTTTCAAGCATTTCGTGTTCTTAAGACAGCCGTGTATCATATTGATTTTTGTTAGATAGGTACTAGGACAACATTAATGCGTGGAGTATTCAGTTCTTTTAAAGAATACTGTTTTAGATTCGACGTCGTTTAGTTTTATTCATTTATAAGACGTAGTAATTAGCAGTTTATACTTTTTATTCTTCAACTAGTGTGAATGTGAAAACTTCAGCTTACACATAATTATAATTTAAATCAAACAATACTATAACCTTCATAATATTCTTCGAAGGTGTTCTAATATCACAACCCACGCAGTTTTCTAAGTGGAGTATATTAACTAGTTAGATTTACTAGATTAATATGGAAATTACAACACCCATATTGTCTTCTGAAATGAACCGATCTACATAATATAGTCTCCATAGTACCAATTCTGTGCTTAACTTCTTTCAGTCCACTTCATATCCATACAGACTACATATACATAGCAAGATGCAACACTATCTACAGATAAATAAAATTGTAGTTGCTGTTTGTAAGATTAAAATAACCGCTTTTTACTAGAGGTACATGCATGCGAATACATATACCAAAATAACATTTTTCACAATTTTTATGTGTCTGTCTGTTTGTACTGGGTAATCTCTGGAATGGCTGGACCGATTTCCACGGGCACTTTTATTCGCAACTAGCTTCTGCCCGCGACTTCGTACGCGCAATCTCGTTTTCTCGCGTTCCCGTAGGATTTTCAGAACTTTTTTTTGTCATAAGAACCTTCTAATGACATTAATAAATATAACAAAAAAAATCTGCCAAATCGGTCTAGCAGTTCTCAAGGTCTGGCGTCACAACGGGAAACGGGTTTCATTTTTATATATATACATTAGCTGATGTACTAAGGAGTTACATAGACTACTTTTATTTTTGACAATAAAAGTTATGTCCCAAAATTCATATTCTACGCAGAAGAAGTCGCGAGCAACAGCTTACTTAGTCGTATATAAAATACATAATATTTGTATTATCCGAGTTTATTTCACAGCAAATTCTATCCCAAAGATAGGGAAGTATTGATTTCATATTATCCTGTTACAAAATAAGCTTTGTAGAATAAATCGTGCAAGGAAATAACAATTTGTTAAATGTAGGCCCCGACGGGAAATGTTGCAGAGTCATCTCAACGATTCATGTTTACTTCGCTTTGTATCGAGTATCGATTAACACTTTACACTTTTATCGATTATCCGTTTTGAAAGGAATATTAATCGTTTAAGTTTAATCCTTATTGTGAATGGTATTAGGTATTGTATAAGTTTGCGCTTTATCGTTTTAATGATTATAGCTAGCCTAGAACTAAAATTAGTGTGATCTTAGTTAATCTCGCGTAAACTATAAAATATCCGTGAAATATTTAAACTTACTTAAATGAATGGGACCGTCTGTAGAGGGCGCCCTAGACGGTCATATACTGACCAGATTGGTGATATATTAAAGAAGGGCCAAATTAAAAGTACCCTTAACCAACGAGCATGCATGAAAAGTTTGATGACTGTTGATGAAGCGGAAGAGGTATGTAGGAATCGTAGTAATTAGCGTTCCATAGTCTTTGCCTACCCCCATGGGAGGCAGGCGTGAAGTTATAATATTGCATTGCCGTTTTATGTGCATGCTGTGTTAGCCAGTAAGTAGTTGTTACACTTACCGATTAAATGCTCTCATGGAATAAAACAGGAACCATATTCTACGCGGATGTAATCGCTGGCAACAGCTAGTATAATTATAATTATTGTATTTTTAAGTTCTAAAAAGGTACCCAGGCCATTGCACATGTACTCAAAATTATAATTTTCATAAAGTTTCTAAATTCAATAGCAGCAAGCAAACTGCTGGCGAGGCGAGCCTCAGCGGACGACTTGCAATTTGAATATCAAATAAGTCTACTGCTGCTCCTTCGAAACTAAACTTTTCAGTTTGCACACCACTCTTTACAACTGTATTCATTATAAAATAGCAGTTTGTGTTAAACTTGGGAATATGGATATCTTATATCTATATCTACCTATACTAATATTATGTAGAGGAAATATTTGTACCTATTTTTGTATGATTGTAATGAATAGGCTCAAAAAGTACTGGGCCGATTTAAAAAATTCTTTTACCAATAGAATGCTACATTCTTTCAATTTGACATAGGCTACATTTCACTTTGAAAAAAATTAAGAATCCTTCGTAAAATTTGATCAATGTAACCAAAGGTGTAGAAAAATGAGTCTTAAAATGTCTTTCGCCGAATGCGCTGCCGAAACTATTAGCAATAGAACAAAATAATATAGGTACTACAATATTGAAGAACATCATAATGTCTACAAAAAACTCTGCGGTATCATATGTCCAACTATTGTAGTTACGTCACTACAACAATCCAAATTTCCAAAAATAAATAATTGTCTACCCCGTGGGAAGCCGGGACGGGCTGCTAGTCTATAAATAAAATTGTACAAGTGTAAATTCTGTACATTGAAAATATTACAAAAATATATATATAGTAGAGGGTGTTAATAGATAGATAACGAACCCAAAAATGTTATTAAAATATATTTTGTCTGTCTGTCTGTCTGTGTGTCTGTCTGTATATTCACGCATCACGCAAAAACTACCGGCCCAATTACGATGAAACTTGATATGATTATACTTTAATATCCTGCCACAACATTGGGTACTTTTTATCCCGAAAAAGTATATAACAACACAATAAAAAACAAACTTAATTGTGCGACTCGATTCCTAGACAGAGTTTATTTACCTCTATTTATTTATTACACACACACAAGTTAACATTAAAGTACAAGTTAACATTACACAACATTAAAATAGAGTAGCGTTTCAATATTCGGGCATTAACATTTTAAAAACTGCTTAATCACCATCGTTATATCTCTGTCTATCTCTATTTATTTTTTTATTTATTTACTTCTTTATTTCTGATTTTTATTTATTTATTTCTTTGTTTCTACACGAACACCATATCATTTCATCTCTTCAACATTTTTGTTGTTTTTCGCAAGCAATTTTATAATAACTTAGTTATGGTTAATGCGCTGAGAACTCGACTCGAGTCGTAATCCGACTCGCGTGATTTTAGTTTCATTTCATAAATACGTTGTATTCACTCTATAGCATATTTATGGACAAATATTCTAGTACATAACAATAATAAATATTTGATTAATTCGATGATAAGTGGAATTTTATACAAATTTCGGGAATCGTAGCCGTTCAATCTCGTAGAGGTTCGTAGACTCGTAGCTCGTAGCTCGTAGTAGTCGCGTAGTCGACCTTTTGAAAATCGAATATTTCTGTTGTTAATTGCGTTTTAATAACATTTAATATTATTGATTGGTAAGCCTTTTCAGTACAATTCAAGGGTCATGTACCAATAATATGTGTTGTAATAAAATGTGGTATTATGGGTTCGTTCGTAGCAGCGTAGCATCGACGTAGCACCTACAAACATTCTATAAACAGTTAAACTCAAATGTATTTCTTTAAAATGTATATCGAGCTATAATCTGTGATCATTGTGTGATATAAAAGTTGTTGTATATGATTTAACTCGTCGAGTACCGGTTTTGTAGACACAATTATAGAACAATAGGTTGCGGTCACCGGTGACCGCTTGGTGTTTGACAGTTTAAAATATATATTTGAATATGTTTTAGTTTAAAAAATAATACTCTAATGGGTAATTCAGTAAGTGCATCTACAAAATTGCAATATTGAGATGCAAAACTATGATATAGTGATGTCATGTTATTCTCATAGTCAATTTCTTGCGTTATCACAAAAGTCTTGAATCGACAACGTGTTCTATCTAGCGATGGTGGCGCCATCTAAAGTGGCTCTCGATCGCTCCACTTTCGATGAAATTGCGTACTTAGGATATGAAAAATATGGACATTATTTTCAATTTGAATGGCTCTGTATATTCATTATTATGCAGCTATTTAATTAATTTTATGTGTTTACAACGATTCTAATGAACAGTCTAAATAAACACTGAAGACGTTTTTAAAGAACGAATAACGGGAGGTAGGCAGAGGTGCACATTACGGCACTTAATGCCACTGTACAATGTAACACCCACTTGTCACTATTTATGTTATGAATTACAGACTCCGTGCTACAACTGAGATTTTTTTTTTAAAGCAATAATACTTTGCCCGACCAGCTCGAAACGAACCCGAGAACCCTAGCCACGCAGTCACACTAGCGACCATTCGGCCAACGAGGCATTTACAGAAAACATATCTTGATAATACAAGCAGATAGATTACACTAGATAGATACACTAGCTAATTAACTTAATTTAGTTTTGTTTGTGGAATTTCCATTTTATTTAAAACAAGGTGATTGTCGAATCTCATACATAGATCAAGACGAATCAGATCATTATAGAAGCGAAGGTGTTTGAATGTGTTTTTGTGTCTGTTTATTACCTACTCAAACATGTCAGAACGGCTAAAGGGATCGAGATGAAATTTGGAACAGGCATTTATGGGCTAGAATTACACACAGACAACTTATTTTGTTTGTTTGTTAAATTTTGTTAAGTTTGTTAAAGTTGTTAAATTTTGTTAAGTTTGTTAAATTTAGTTAAGTGTGTTAAATTTCGTTAAGTTTTTTTTTATTTCAAAACATTGCCCCACACTAGGATTTTCTCCTGTATCGTGGGTGCGTTGACAAACATACAAGTTCACATACACATGACTCCCAGACCAGGAACAAGAATTTGTGGATAACACAAAGAGTTGCTCCGTGCGGGAATCGAATCGAACCCACGACACGTTGCGTGGCAGCTGGTTGCCCAGTCATCGCACTAACCGTGTTGTCGCTTGTGTAAGTTTGTTAAATTCTCTTTTTGTCTTGTTACAGATCTCCACTATGGGTCAGCGTTACTTAATTACTTTATGTGCTCTGATGCTCGTCTCGGTGGGCTACTGTCAAACTGGTGAGTTTCTGATTATTATTTATTTCCTTTATAGTACACACACACATACTATCTTTTACCCGCGGCTTCGGTCGCGTCACAAAAAGATAAAAGAAACCTATGTGATTATCCATCCCTTCAACTACCTTCAGTTAAAAAATCACGTTAAGTACCTCCGTTTTCAGGCAAACAAACAAAAAGCTCTCCGCTCGCGTGGAATTCGGTTATATTGCGCTTTTTAGATTTTTCCGTGGGAATTAGAAGTCCTGCCGCGGAAAAGCCTTGCTTTTACCTTTATACCAAATTTCTTCAAAATCCATTCAGCCGTTCAGCGTGAAAGAACAAACAAATACGGATGGTATTTGTAGTAATGCGAAAATAACTCCTTCCCATTTAAATTTAAAAGACTTTTCAAAAAAAAGGACTTTCATTTGCAATGTTAAACCACAACTGAGTGGTAAACTATATTATACATTTTATTATCGAAAACCTAAAGTAACTGCTTTAGAGATCTACTTAGAAATAAACCACTTCACTACTCTAACCTAACTAATATATAGCTACTGTATCAAATAATCAATCAACGTAAACAATTAACAAAGCGACTTACAACGACGAAAAAAAATAACTTTAGATAATAATATCTACCTAGAAAAAATAACACTTGACCAATCAAACCTACAGAGCGAACGAAAAAAATCAATTATTTATATTGCTAGATCCGTACACCGAAATATAATTGTATTTTTTTAGTTTAGGTTAGGACCACTCGTAGTTCAGCACGCTAAGGCTGTTGACTACTTAACCGGACAAACAAATATAATTATTTCGGAAGCTCGGAACCTATACTTTCGCCGGTAACGAAACCATAGCGCCATCTAACTCGATCCTAACGCCATCTATCAAGCGTTGAAACAACAGCGTACAATATATTTGCTAATTGTTGAACATTATTGCCACTATGATTTCGTGTACCTAACAACCTAAAAAAACTCCATAAACAACTCTATAAAATACGCAATTTAATGTAAAATGGTTGGAACCAAAATTTAAAAGTGAAAAATACTTAAAAAACACAACGCTACCCTGTTTTATAAACAATCAGCGCCATCTATCGCCAAGTAGCGTAACTACTACATAGACACCAATTTCGTGAACCTTTAACAACCTAAAATCTATAAAATGCGCAATTTAATGTAAAATGGTTGGAACCAGAATTTAAAAGCAAAAAATAATTAAAAAAAAACAACGCTACCAGGTTTTATAAACGCTCAGCACCATCTATCACCAAGTAGCGTAACTACTGCACAACGTGACCACGTTGTGTTTTTAAAGTATTTTTACAAATAAAACAGCAAATAAATGAGTCGAATAGTGCACCGAATAAGTGTAGAAAAACACCAAATAAGCGCTATAGATTAAAACGTGAAATTTCCAATTAGTAGGTAATTAGTTGAATTGTTTTAAATAGCATACAGCGCCATCTATACGAATACACAAAGCGCCATCTGTACTATTATTTTTGTTTTCCCTCGGGAATATCACATTTTCCGTGATAAAAAGTACCCTATTATTTAATCTGTACTTCTAACTTTACGTCTGCAAAATTTCAAAGCAATCGGTTTAGTAGTTACGGCGTGAAAGCAGAACAAACATACAAACTCACTTTCAGATTTATAATATTAGTAAGGATAAGGATTTCAGAACGTCTTAACCAGGTCAAATAATGGGTATGTTTACAACGTTAAATACGCAAAATCTCAGACACCCTAAATGTTTTTTCCAAAAGCTTTCTCGTCAACCGCAATCAATTTAAGTCAAAATAAAAAAGAGATTCTTAATTCATCTTTTTTTATGGAATAAGCCGGTAAACGAGCAGACGAATCACCTAATGGTAAGTCATCAGCGCCGCCCATGGACACCTGTAACACCAGAGTTGTCACATTGTAATAATTACTCTAATTACCAAATTTGTTAATATTGTCTCTGAATTGTATTAATTTTTAATTCTTGTATTTGATTACCTAATTAGTTTGTTTTTAATTACCTAAATAATAGCATTTATATATATAAGTTTAACAGTATAACTTAATGGCGTAAGCTGTGGTGTTGTATATGTACATTTTCTAAATAAATAAATTGTCACAAGTGCTTTACCGGCCTTTTGAGGATTAGGAATTTGAAGATTATGGGGGATTCAGGGATTGGGGAGTTTAGGGAGGGGTAATTGGGCTTCCAGTAACCTCACTCACACAACAAAACACAAAGCAAGTGTTGATTCACGTTAGTTCTCTGTGAGGCCGTGATACCTCTACCACTTCGGTCGAGCATGCCCATTTGTGCCGAAGCATGGCTCTTCCATATTTAAAACACAATAAACCAGATTCATTGTTAATAATACATATACTATTTACTTCGAAAACATATAGTCTAACAAGTATCTCCGTTCCAGAAACGGAGCCACCAACGACTGTGACGACCAAGGCTCCGACTACCACCACTGTGGTGACATCCACCACCACCACGACTTGGGAGACGGAGACCCTGAATGAGGGCCAGGCGATACAGAAGGCGCTGCAGTATCTGCTGCAGCACCGCCAGCCTGACTGGGGCTGGGGTAACGATACGCACCATGTGATGCTGACACTGCAGGTGATCATATCATCATCATTATCAACCGGGAGAAATCTACTGCTGAACAAAAGAACACGACAATAATAACTAGTTTTGCGCCCGTAATATTTTAATACTTTCTGACAAAAATTTAGATCGATTCAAAGAAGGTATCGAGAATTCACAGATGAAGAAACTTCATCTAATATTTTTTTAATGCACTACTCTCCAACATTATCAATCAATACATAGTATAAAACAAAGTCGCTTTCGCTGTATGTCCGTATGTATGCTTAGATCTTTAAAACTACGCAACGGATTTTGATGCGGTTTTTTTTAATAGATAGAGTGATTCTTAAGGAAGGTTTGTATGTATAATACATGCATATTGCACCCGTGCGAAGCCGGGGCGGGTCGCTAGTTATTTTATAAAAACATTGCTCACTAGTATTTTTCCTACGTCCTATGGGCGCTTACAAACATACAATTACACATACACATGATGGATGGATCGTCTATATACAATAGGTAATGATGATGACCTATGACTACGGCGTTGAAACCGTTAATACTTGGCGAATAACCAACTAGGTGCTCAGCAAGGCTATCAGACACCCCATCCTAGATACATTTCGGTGTCGCATTGGCATCTGAGCTAATCCAGAGATGTATCGCCTTGCCAATAACTAACTGCTACAACCCTAATGGTACTTGTGCAGATTAGATAACGAGACCTTCATTCTTCCTGATAGTTAGACATTATTAATCTTGAGCTTAAGTTCGGTCTGCAAATTAATAATACAGAAAACTGCTCAAAGCGAACCTCCGCTGACGTCTGTCAGCATTTTTAGCAGAAATGTCTTAGTCAACGTATTATTGAAATTTTTTTACGAAGATATAATCTTGACTATGTTTTCCGTCAAGCTTCGGTTTCTGATAGTAAAATAGGCTGTAGAACTATTTACTAATATATGACATTTAACTACTCGAGTAATTACAGGAACAATCTTATTTGTTTAATTAAACTTCCAGTTGGCAAATAACACTGGTAAGGAGATTGAGCAGCAGGGCCTGGAGATGCAGCTCTCAGCGAAGCAGATGGAGATCGAGATTCTGCTCATGATGTCCAAGTGAGCCCAAGTCTTATACCGTAGATGTGTTCATACTATGTGGATGTATTTTGTAGGAGATAAATAATAATTATAATCAAATGCTCCAAGAACTATTAACAATCACAGAGTATCATATCAGATTTATGCATTAAATCATTAAAAACAATTTAATTTATCTTTAGACACCACGAATCTCCTCCTCCATTGGGGCGCCTCGCTGCATACACACTGGCCCTCGGAGCTCTCTGCAAGGACCCTCGGTCCTTCCACGGCCGCGACCTGGTGGCTGCCCTCCTGCATCGTGAGCCTCCTCATGACCTTGAGTTCGCCTATGCGACCCTGGCTGCCTGTTCTTCAGCAGCTCATGTTCGGCGCCGTCATATTAGGAGGCTCCTGGACATTGCAAACGCTGCTTCTGACCACAGTCTTGGTAAGTTAGAATTATTTTATTTTTTAAGGAAAGAATTACTTTGAATTGGACTCACAGGACACAAGTATGTTATCTAAAACAACCATATTATTTACATTTTTTTTCAGATATTCGACTTGACTAATATTTTGCGTTATTTTTCAGACACGATCTCAATGGTGATATTGGCGCTGCGCTGTGTGGTGCAGGACCACCGACACCGTAGTCTCATTCACTTTGTGCGCCGCCCCATGGCTGGACTCGCAAGGCAACAACACACTGATGGGAGCTTCGGTACCCTCACCACCACCGCCTTGGCTATTCAGGTACGACTGCTTACAGGATCAACACTAATGATAATGATGTAGATGACCCTGTCCTGCTGATGTTGTTCAAAACTTGTTACTTTTATTTCTCTGCAGGCCTTGGAAGATTCTGAATCAGGACCCGGAGCGCACCAGCACTGGAGCTTCCCAGCGGCGCGCAAGTGGTTGGTGGAGAGGCAGCGAAGTGACGGCGGCTGGGGCGACGTGGCCAGCACTGCTGCAGCTGTGGCCGCTCTCACACCCGCCTCACTAGCTGCTGTCCGCCCGCCACACTGCGCCGACAAACTCCTTGACAATCGTCACGAACCTTTAGGTGACGAGATTTTTCAAGGAAATATGCCATCAAACAATATTAAACTCTGTTTGAATTACCAGGCTAATTCGCAAAATATTTTTACATTATACCATGTTATATCGTACTGTACCTTGGTTACCACATTGGTTGATCTCATTGTCATAGTTCTCTCTAATAAATGTGTTACTTGTTAACGGTTCCAGATAGCAACGGGGGTGATGGCACTCTTAAGCTGGCCTACCAGTCAGGCAGCACCAGCAACGAATCCGATGCACGCAACGTATCCTTTACTTACACGCTGTGGGTTGGCACTAACGTCACTGAGACCTACACCCTGCGCATGGTTGCTCCTAGGTTAGTCTAGTGATTAACTTTTTGTTTATTCTGATATCCTGGTAAATTTTTCGGTGGTCTCAGAATAAAGTAATAAACGGTATTTTGATCATGATGAAAGTAAGAACTTCACCAATTAACCCAATCGAATAACTAAAAAGAGAAAGTTAGCTTTATGATGTTCTTTTCACCATGACAGCATGAAGGTTCTTGCATACGCTAGCGACCTAATAAAAGCCAATTTCCGTTTTCAACTCACAGTTTTTTTATTTAATCGCCCTGACGCACAATGACAATTATATTGCTAATAATTATGTTTTTTATAATTACAGGAATATATCATTCTTCCACGTGATGCAAATGGCGGCGAAAATATTACCGAAGTTCAAGTTTGAGGCGAGCGAGTGGCCTAATGGTCATTATGTGCACACGATCGGGGGTCACAAGGAGGAACCCATGGGTTACCACTACTGGCTGCTTTACCGTCTGCCCGAGAAGCCTGACCCCGCCAGCCCTCCTGGCAACCAGCTCGTCGCACCAGTCGGTAAGGAATACGGTTACTTTATGACTGAAAATAACATTCAAAAATATATTAAAATCCTTGAGTAAAATAATATTATTATTAAATGTGTAATCCTTACAATTTTTTGCTGAACAGTATTAATTACTTATTCATTAAATCAAACATTATTTTATTTCAGGTGTGGACGACTTATTGGTTGAGGAAGGAGAACATTATCTGTTCTGGTATAAGAAGTTGTAAATCTTCCATTGATATCGCTCCCACCAGTTACCACTTTTATTATATACCTTCTACCATCGTATGATACCTTCGTTCCATCTTCTCTATTATTTAATCTTTCAAAGTTTCTGTTTAATCTGTCTCAAACTTAGATGTAAGATTCAGTCATATATCGTACGTATTTCAATAGGAATAATAGTTTTAGGAGCATATTTATCAAACGATTGTACCTTTAATATTAATCTCTGACTATTTTAAACTTTCACGATTTAGCTGTGGTCAATTTTCTAATGTTACTAGAAAATTTTGATTTCTTTACTGAGCATACCAAAGATAAAGTATACATAGAAACATTTATAGATATTCTTAACTTTCATGATGTTACGTACCAGTTTCTTAATGGAGGTACTCATAAATGGTCCCATTATAGCACCCTGGGGAACCCTTACTTTGTCAGTGAAATGTTCGTGTGGCCTTTATTATCTGAAGCTGACCACATAGGTATAGTAGGTCCCATGACGGACATTCAATTAAATGTTTACTTAGTAAAGCATTACACATATTTTATAAACATTCTGTAATCATAATCAATAATAATATCATTAGCAAACGTTATCTAAGGTTTCCATATCTCAATAAAGATACTGTTTTTGTCGGCAATACTTTGCATGTGTTAGTTAGCATGTACGATAGCATTTAGAACAACGTTAAGATTCATGTTAAAGTAAGCAATTCTCAATTTAAAACTTTTTTAATACCTAAACATCGAGTTAATGTAAAATTGAACAATATAAATAATATAATTTATCAGGACATGCTGGCAAATATTACGTAACTTGAACAGTCTTCGTTACAATATTGTTGATCGAAGAAAATCTAATTTATTATCAAGTTTTTCATAAATTGACAAAAGTATGAATATTTGGTCATATTTCCATTAACTCGATGTCGATTATAATTCTAGTTACCTACTATATTATACTGTGTAATCTCGGAAACAATAGATTTTAAAACTAATCATTTTAGACGAGACTGAACGCAGTGTTATCTAATTCAAGTGCGTTAGAATAACATTTTTATTGTACCTATTGAATGGTTCTTAATAAAGTACGAAAATACAGTAATCTTTGGTGTTTTCTTGGTCTCATTCACACTGTATATGTTATACGAAGAGAATTGGGTACTTTCCTTAATCACAAATATATTATTTCGACTGTTCAATACAATGAAATATAAAAAAATAATCACACTTTCATTAATTATTGATTTTACGACCAACTTAATTTTAGTATATTTCCAGCAATTTTTAAAATTAACTGTCAACCACCGAGCGGTCACCGGTGAGCGCAACCTATTGTTCTATAATTGTGTCTATAATGACGGTACTCGACGAGTTAAGTATGCTGTTTGACGCTCCATAATCATGACGTCACAATACACAATCCATAGAAAACTGTCGTTTCTGACAGTTCGAAAAATGTATTGAATTTGACTAGTTGGCAAGTACTCAATTGATGCAAGGCTGAGATTTCTGTTCCGTTTTCTGAGGGCTTTTTTTTTTTTTTTTTTAAGGGGGGAAAATCATCGAATGACTGCTCCAGCCTGGGTGAGGCGGGAGGGAGTGTCAGACTCTTACTGACTAAAAACCACCCCGTTCCTTCTCCTGCACGTCGAGCCGGAGCCCCGGTTACCCGTTGGGTTCTCCGCGACTTTTCTGAGGGCTAAATGCGCGCGACTCTTCATGCCCTGGATTATAGGCACGTAAGCCTAGTATCTATGTGTATTTTTTTATTTTAAGGTGAGTATCTCTATCGACGTTATGAAAGAATAAAAACTAAAGTTAGATCCAACATTTATTAAATTTGTACAACTTACACATAACACCAATTTGACCACGTCGGCTAGGTATCAATACCTAAATAGTGCAAGGAAGCTACAAAACGTCTCATATATTGCATAGAAAATGGAAAACAACGTCTTCATAAAAATAGCATTTGATTATTTATAAATTTGAAAGAGCTTATCATAAGAACTTACACGATAAGTTATTTTATAACTCAAATCACTCATACAATACAACCTTCAATAATAAAATGGAACATAAAAATAATGCATTTCTGAGAACATAAATAACTAAACATAGCTTAACGTATATAGTCACAATTTTTTACCGAACATAAAATTATAGTGTTATTTCCTATCAACCATTTTTTGGACTTCATAGTCTCATAATAATAACAAATATTCTTTACTTTACTGCAACATTTTGTCTCAAAAGAGATCTGACACGTTCACGGAATACTAATAGAATATTCGCTTAGCTCAGTAGCTAATGAGTAACTAAACACAACAATACTATGCATCCCTTTGATTCAAAGTTCTTACATATTGAACTAAACGTGCATGGATGGATGACAAACTGCAATCTATGTATAATCGCAGTTACTTTTAATCTAAAGGCTGTTTTCAACATTTCTATTTAAGTGCCTCTTAGCTTATCTGACACATTTTAGACAGTCTACTAATCCGTCAGTTAGACTAATTACAACTTAGCTAGAAAGGCGAAACAGGCCCTTACTGTGAGACTTAGAGACATTTAATGCTTACTTAAACTATTCCTTAGTAATCATTTTGTTCCGAAAACAATTGCTAAGGACTGGGTTAAGTAGCCATTAAATGACTTTAAATACGGCGGTTAGTGTAAGATTAAACATAAATTAATATATCTCTCGAATTATGAGATAATCAAAAATAATCGAATATAATACGCTTTATAGAGAAAAATATAATATTAGTCGATTTTTGGACATGACTATTTGTTCGAAAATCGACTAATTCAAACCCCTCTTTAGTATTACTCGGGAATAAGTTGCCGAAACAAAATTGTCCTTCGTTTTATAAAACCAACAACCAAAGAAAGTAAATACATGCATAACTTTATGATACCTTAGTAAATGTAAAGAAAACTGCGTGCAAATGCAATTTTATAATTACTTACATACTTAAAATAATAAGTATCAATCACGTAGAAAATATAAATGAGCAACATATTAACCTTATGAAAATAATCCAATTGTGCATTGAAATAATTGTGGCTATTATTACATTTATGTGCATACAGCATTATCTAGTACATAAATAAAACGAATCTTTAAAATTTCACAAAGAAAGGGTGCAGTAAAATGCTGCTATGGAAATTGATGTATACCCGTATTTTTCCGTATAAAATACAAAAATCAATGTTTACGACGAGATGAAGATAAAAATCATATATAATTCAAACATAACCAATTAGTTGTAGCTGCGTTGTTGAATGTGAGTAGTCGAAAACCCCAGATATCAAATAATTCGTTTATTTGTAAAAGTCGAAGATGTAATTGTATGTTGACCCGTGGATATATCTCTATGACCCCAATTAGTTTACTAAACGACTAAAACACAGAATTAAATAATATCGAAAAACAATAACATTTACATTAAACTGATTTTGGTTTCTTTGTTTTTTGGTTTACTCGAATATAAGTACCTACTTTTTATCTCGCAAATATTCGTTTGCGGCTCTGCAAGTCCATCCCTATGGACTTATTTACCCCTGTAAATTCTGATTTACCAATAACTTCTTATCTTCTTATCTCTGGGACTATCTCATAACTTATTGTATTCGTAGATTCGCGTATATATTTAGTAGATATTGTGATGAAGTGAAATATTTCAATAATTAACTTAAATTGCTACCTTTCTTTGTGTAACTTTAGCTATAGACAAGTCTAGTTATAGGATCCGTAAATAATATATTAATCATCATTCAAACAATAAATCTAACATTCTGAATGGCTAACACACAGCAAATCACAACTTGTCTCATTATTGAAAAAATAAAATTCTTCCATAAGCGATAAAGACCAGCTTCAATACGCTTAAAAAGGTATTTACTTTTTTTTATTTCAGAGCAATATGCGTCGCATTCATAAGGCTTAAATTCGAACATTTTCTAACGGGGTAATAAACTGGTTTCACTATTTTGACAGGTGACATTAGAACTGTCAAAATAACGCTTCGTGATTGGCTAAGGCAAGTTATATAAAGTGCGGCCATGTTTTTTAATTATCCCCATTGGCAACAGTAATATAACATACATCCTATATTACTTTATGTGCATCCAACTATGGGTATTGAAAATATATTAAAGACAGCTTTTAGCGAATTATTACTTACAAATACAGTGGAATAGACAAGAAATGATAAAGTCCTTAAGATATATATTATTTATATCACATAGAGTACCGAAGAGGTAATGGTTTCAGGTCAAATCACATAATTTGTTAATATTATAATTGGTCTGAGTCGAAACGAGTGAAATAGTGTAGCCTAAAAATAAATAAATATAACAACCAAATATGAGGTTAATTTAATTATAAATCTGAGATTTTCATGGCAAATCAAAAATCACTAATTCTTTGCACACAGTGAAGTGACACATACTCAAACTATTCAATTCACTTCGACCCAGACCTGTTGCAAACTCACTCTCTAATATTTTCACGTGATTACATTAAGTAAATCAATCATTTTACTATACAAATAAGGCTCTTTTTGGCATAGCAAAGGTTTTACTGTAACACTTAATTCTGTCTTGAAAAACAGCTTAGGAGACTTTGGAGTCCCCAAAAACCTGAGCAATCGTGTACATATTTTTATAGCTTTGTTTAATAATCAGTTATATGTTGGTTTGTTTGTAACCACGTGAAGCAGTGATGGTTTGCAGGTTGTAGCTAGTACTCTTAACTGGATGCGACATTAAGGCATGATCACGATGCGGTTCATGATCGTCGTGTACGCAAGTCCCAGCGCCCACGATACTTCGTGGCCGTTCACTTTCTTGAATAACTGGAAATAATAAATTCTTTATTAGTTTTGTGTGACAAAATTATTTACATATTTTTTAAAGAGTTGTCCCATACTAAAATATTCTCCTGTGTCGTGGCTACGTTTACAAATATACAAGTTTACATACACATGACACCCAGAACCGAAAGAACAATTTGTAGATCATACAAGGAGATGCTTCGTGCAGGAATCGAACCCGTGACACGTTGCGCGGTTGTCCAGCCACTGCACCAACCCTGCCGTCTAATAATTTTACAATGACGTGTTTTATTTTTTCATTTGTATAAGCGTTTGTTTTTACACTAAAAGAATATCGTTAATATGTAGTACCTACTTAACAAAATCAATTTAGATGACTCGCATCAATAATGAGAGGTAGAAAACAAAACCTAAGTAAAATGTAAGAATAAGAATAAGAATTTTATTTGCTCAAACATGTGTGTGCATACAGAATTAAAATAATACAGCATGCAAGATCTTAGACAAAAGTGGCTTACGACATGTCTGCCATTTATCATGGCGTGCAAATAGTCAATTAACATTGAAATAAATTCTCAAACCTCTAAATCTATCGCAACAGAACTAAAAACTGCAAAAGATAAACCAATTCATTAGGATATTATTAAGAAAAACAAAGTTAAACTACAACTTACATATATCGGTTCATTATCACTGATCTTGTAGACATCTTGCAGTAATGTGACGATGTACACCAAGTCTATGCAGGCCCACGGCTGGTCTACGTTGGGAGTAGAGCACGCTTCCAAAGCTGCCTTGCGGTAAGCCGCTACTGAGACTTGCCCGCCCGTCATTACATCTGAAAATAGGAGATTCATTTAATGTTGAGTTTTTTTTTATTTCTAGCTTCTACCCGTAGCTTTATCCGCGTTGCTGTGGGATAAAAAGTACCCTGTGTTATTCCAGGTCATAATTATTACTAGCAAACCCACCAGATGGCTTCGTTTTATGTAACATTCTTTGCTATAAACCTCACGGAGCCCGAGACCTTTCCAACGAATGCAAAGCCGTGGAAATCGTTTCGTGCGTTCTACAGTTATAGCGTCAGGTAGGAAAACCCGATTTATTTTTATATAGTAGATTATCCTGCTTCTAATTTCAACACGATCACTGCTGTTTTGACGTGGTTGAGTAAAAAACATATACACAAATACGAGATAAATGTAAGATAAGTCTGGCGAAGGCAGAGTACAGTAAGTACGTTCCTCTTCTCTTGGAAGACTCCTAAAAGACAACTTGGGTCACTGTTGTGTGTCTGTTTTATTAACTTTTAAATGTCCGATTATGAAAAATCCACAACATTTGTTCATACAAAAGTAGTCTCTAAACATCGGAAATAAGGTCTATAATGGTGTAAGTGACCATTAAGTTACAATATAATTTCAAAGCAGATATGAGTGTCCGCTAGGTACCAGGGCAACAGAACTCAATAGCAGTACGTACCTATAATGCCCGCGTCGGCCGCGACGTCGTAGAAATAGCTCATGGCGGCCACGCTGCCGAGCGGCGCGCGCTTGGGCTCCCAGTCCACGTTGGGCATCACGCTGCGCCGCACGGCGTCGTGACACGCCGCGTATATTGCTGACCGCTTCGACCCGTGCACGCGGAACGCACCGCTATATATAAAGTTTAAGATTAATAAATAACTATGAAATAACTGAAAGTTTCAGAAATCTGCTCGTTTACCGGCTTATGCCATAAAAAAATCATAAAATGGTTTTTGTAAAAAATTCTCAGTAATAGCACGGAGTCTGGAATTGTGCCCGGTATATGGCAATAGGCTCACCCCCTATTACATGGGACTCATAACATAAATAGTGAAAAGTGGGTGTTACATTGTACAGTGGTATAATGTGCACCTCTGCCTACCCCTTCGGGGATAAAAGGCGTGATGTTATTATGTTATGTTATGTGTCAGTTAGATAATGAAAAAATATTAGACACCTATTTTTTATTTTGTCGTATAAGGTTACAATAATGAGATAAAACGAATCGAAATTTAGGAGTAGCTAAAACGTCATTTCTACATATATAACTTACCTAGAAGTGACGTCACGCGATATTTCAAATCAATATCTCGTCAAAAGTATCGGAGATAGAAAAGAAAAAATACGTGTCTAATGTTTTAAAATAATGTACCGGACGGACATTAACATAAAAAATTGTCATCTGTATATTGATATCAAAATGTTGTATTACCTGACGAAGTAGTTCTTGTTAGCATAAGTCCATGGTTCCCGTTGTATGATGGGGTCGACACATACGGATCGGAACTCCTGTGTCTCTCCCTCGGACGCCTCCGATTGAAATACACCATATCGAGCCGCCAGCAGACCTAGCTTCAAGTAGCTGAAAATAAATTTTACAAAAATAATTATTTTATAGGTGAACTACGTACGTAGGACTGCCTCGTTGGCCGAGTGGTCGCAAGTACGACTGCCGGGCAAGGGATCTTGGTTTCGTTTCCTGGGTCGGGCAAAGTACTTCTGGGTTTTTTTTAAATCTCAGTAGTAGCACAGAGTCTCGAATTGTGCCCGGTATATGACAATAGGCTCACCCCCTATTACATGGGACTGATAACATAAATAGTGAAAAGTGGGTGTTACATTGTACAGTGCCATAATGTACACCTCTGTCTACCTCACCCCTTCGGGGATAAAAGGCGTGATGTTATGTTATGTGTTTTGATTGTGTTTGCTTCTCATGCATGAGGGTGCAGGTTCCAAACATACCAACGGCAAGTACCAATGTGACTTTTCCGAGTTATATGTACTTTCTAAGATTATCTAGACACCACTGACAAACGATAAAGGAAAACATCGTGAGGAAACCTATAATTTCTAATTATAAGTTTGAAATGGCCAACCCGCATTGAGCAACCGTGGTGCTTAATGCTCAAACCTTCTCCGTGTGAGAAGAGGCTTTGCTCAGCAGTAGGCATTTATAGGCTGTTATTTGTAAGTGTGTTTCGATATGTTTAATTATAAATAACATTCACCTATGTGTATAGAGAGTGATGTTATCCCCAGCGGGTACGACGTATTGGTCCTTTTTGGGGAAGTTGGCAGTCTCTTTATTGCTCAACTGGTAGGTGATCTGTGTGGACCCACCGCCGAGGTCCAGGGCCGCCATTGTTGACCCGCCCATGAGGTCTGAAAGGAGAATTGAAAAAGATTTTTATAGGTTAATAAAATTTGAAAACAATTTGAAATTGATACCAACTTTGCGAGGTGAGGAATTCGGGATACGAGGTTGATTAAGACATATCGGGGTCTTTGAAAGCAACTAAAGTTACAAATTTTAGTCAATATCTTCCAGTTACAACATAATGATTGTAAAGTCATAAACAACCATGCTTTATATAACAAACTGTAAATATGTAGTCTACTATAGACTTACACGCAGAATACACACACAGTGACACGAAGGACATCTGTCGCGTGACATGGCCCGTCTTTACACTTCATACATTACGGTGTTGCAATACACACACATAAATTTACCACCGACATTTTCGTGCTTCAATCCATCGACATATACTAATGGACATAGCCTTAAAGATGAGAATTGTGGTCAAAGTCAAAGTCAAAGTCAAAGTCAAAGTCAAAGTCAAAGTCAAAGTCAAAGTCAAAGCATTTATTTCAATTAAACCATAGTTTGGTACTTTTGAAACGTCAACAAATACAAAATAAATAATAGTCTGTCAGTCAGTCCGTCAGTGAAGCTAGGTGAAGCTAGGTGCTCATTCCAAAACGTAGATTCGAATGGAGAAGAACGAGCAAGAAACTCCATTCGTTACTCTTTTAAAAAAGTATGTTCTACAATGTCTCTGATACATATTTCAATACTGTACGCATATGTAAGAACAATGCAAAGACACGCTTGACGCATTATACTAATAACTTACTAAAATAAAAATAAAAATAATAAAGATCTTAAGTCTAACATGGTGCTCACATATGCATACTGACAATCCATAGAAATAGTGCTTCTATACAAGAAAAAGGAAACTCTTTGTTTCAATAAAGAAAGAAATGCTCGATGCCATAAGGAAACTAGATTGTCTACATTAGAATTAAAGTATTAAATTATGTATTATATTACCTACTATTGGAATTTAACTACTGACTACATTTGAGTATTGTCCAGTGGAGCCGAACCAACATGCTGCCAAGCATTCTTATCTTCAAGATAATCTGTCAGTGTGTAGTAAGCTTGATTACATAATTCGCGCTTAATATATGTTTTAAATTTACTTTCATTGAGATCTAGTATGCTATTTGGTATTTTATTATAGCATTTAATACCTAACCCCATAAAGGATTTCTGTACTTTGGACAGTCTGAATTGCGGTATAGCTAACTTATTTTTGCCTCTAGTATTAAAATTGTGTCTATCGCTTCTTTTTTCAAACAATTGCCTATTTTTCCTTACATACATTATATTTTCATATATATATTGACAGGGCACCGTTAAAATATTTATCGTTTTAAACAATTCTCTCAACGATTCGCAACGGCGTAAGTTATATATTGCTCGGATAGCCCGCTTTTGCAGAATAAATATTGATTCTATTTCTGCAGCTCGACCCCACAACAAAATGCCGTACGACATAATGCTGTGGAAATAACTAAAATAGACAAGCCTAGCTGTATCCACGTCCGTGAGCTGTCTAATCTGTCTAACTGCAAAAGCAGCTGAGCTCAATCTCCCCGAAAGCGCCTTTATATGCGGACCCCATTGTAGCCTATTGTCTAACGTAATGCCTAAAAATACTGTCTCGTCGACAAATTCTAACTTTTGACCGTTCAAAACAATATCACAATCGTTACTACGCACGTTTGGTAAACTGAATTTAATACATTTTGTTTTTTTTTCATTAAGTGCTAGATTATTAATGGTAAACCAATTATGCACTTGAAGAATGGAGCTGTTTACGTCGTCAAGATTATTTGTACGTCGATCTACTTTAAAAATTAATGATGTATCATCTGCAAAAAGCACCATTCTTGGTTCATTTTTAAATATAAATGGCAAATCATTTATATAGACTAAAAAGAGAAAGGGACCCAATATTGAACCTTGAGGAACGCCCATATTCATCCCAGAGCCCTGTGAGTTAATACCGTTAACATGAACCTTTAACTGTCTTTCTTCTAAATAAGATTTCATAAGACGGAGCGCAGAGTTTCTTATCCCGTAATGATCTAATTTCAGCAAAAGTGTTTCGTGGTCAACGCAATCAAATGCTTTTGAGAGGTCACAAAATACACCAATAGCATCCTGTGCTTCCTCCCAAGCACCAAATATTTCCTTAATCAAAGTGACACCGGCGTCAGTTGTGCAACGACCTTTAGTGAAACCGTATTGTTGTTGGTGAAAGATGGAATGTTTATTAAAATGATGAAGCATCCGAGACAGCATCAACTTTTCAAAGACTTTGCTGAGAACCGGTAAAACAGACACTGGCCTATAGTTGTTAGGTTCTTTAGTGTCACCACTTTTAAATAGTGGGATAACCTTACTATATTTCATTAGGTCAGGGAAAACACCGTCATCTATACATTTATTGAAAATCACAGCCAGATATGGCGCTACAGTTTGGATAAGTGACTTGCAAACCATTACCGATAAGCCCCAAAGATCCTCCGTTGATTTAGTCTTGATTTCTTTAAAAACTTTTATAATTTCTAGAGGATTCGTATATCGAAAACTAAAGTCGTATTGACATGATTCTATGTTGTTCTTAAGCAAAGTTACAGAGAGGTTTGCTGATGACTTTAAATGTTCAGTTGTTTTAATAGGAATACTAGTAAAAAAATTTTCAAACTCCTGGGCTACATCTACGTTTGATGTAATCTGTCCCCTTTCGGTATTTAAATTAAATTCTGAGTTTCTTAATCTTTTCCTACCGGTCTCGTTGTGTATAACTTTCCAAGTAGTTTTTATCTTATCATCAGACGATTTTATTTTATTACTAATATAAAGACGTTTCGCGACTCTGCATACTATTCTAAAGGTTTTTGAATAAGATGTTACATACTGGTGAAATTGGGGGTCATTTTTGTACGGTTTCATTCCATAAAGTTCAAAAAGTCTGTCCCTACTCTTACGAATACCTACAGTTGCCCAGTCGCTAAATACAAATTTGGTATGAATATCTTTATTTTTTATTGGCAAAATATTGTTAAATTCCTTGTTTAACATCTCAAAGAAATCATTGTAGAATTTATTCAGATTACTAGTATCAAATACTTTCATACATAATTTAGTAGCTAAAGAATTGCTCAATTTCTCCAGATTTTTAAACGTGATTTGTCTATATCTTATTTGAATTTTTAGGATAGGTAAATAAGAGCTATACGCAACCATTAGTCCACAGTGGTCGGATGGCAAGCTATTTATAATATGTTTTTCTTTGTAGTCACAATTACAGAAAACATTATCAATACAGGTGGCGGTAGAGGATGTTATCCTTGTTGGTTCTAAAAAAACATTTTTTAAATTAAATGATCCAAATAAATTTAACAATTCCATACTACTAGTACTATTTTCTAATAAATTAATATTAAAATCACCACATATAATTACTGATTTGTGACTAGAACAAACCTTTCTTAAAACATCCTCCATGACAGAATCAAATACTGTAAGATTCTGATAGTTAGGTGGCCTATACACACAGACAATAACATGTCTATCCAGCTCAACACAGGACAACTCAATGGTGTGTTCAACTGACAGTGCTACAATGTCTTTCCTTCCTTTTGATTTAATACTATTTTTTACTAATATTAAGGACCCACCATGTAACATATGCTTTCTACTGAAATTACTAACTACATTATAATTATCTAAATTTAAAGATATTAGTTGGTCCTCCTTAAGCCAATGTTCTGATAGACAAATTACATCAAATTTAGTCTTTTCCAGAAACATCTCTAATTCAAAGACTTTTGAGGAGCAGCCCTGAATGTTAATATAAAATAATTGTAGATTGTGCTGCCCCTGAGTATAATTGTACTGTGCTTTTTCCTTGCCAGAATATACCTTATTATTTATATGATTTATGAAGGTATGTTCTGTTGTCTTAAAATCTAGTTTAAACTTAAATTAAAATGTGCCTCTGTGCTGTTAGACACTCTAGACAACACAGATTCGTCCTTAAAACTATTTTCTGTTATACAAGTTATAACAGTGTTAATATTATATGCTATCAGCATAGCAATTTTATGTCGACATTTATTTGAAAGGTGTACACCTTTCTTTGTAAAAACTCCGAAAGAAAGAGAGGAAACGAAGTTTCGGTTTATCTTTATCTCTCTCAAAATAGTACCGTAGTTAAGACTTTATGAGCGAGAAAGAGATAGCGCTAGACCGAAAGCATAGGCCATCTCTCTCACTCTTTTCAAACCAAAAAAATACTGTAGATTATAAGCGTACGACATGTCCGTTAGTATATGTCGATGTTTCAATCATTTTTAAGTGACATTAAGTCTGCCTTATTTCTAACGTCCTTGATTAAACAAAATACACTTAGAAGCAAAGAAACGGAGTCACTTGCATTTTTTTTCCATTTTATAGAACCCTCTATAGCTTAAAAAAATTCCAACAAAATGCTCTCATTTTAAAGGTAACTAAATTTCCTATACGACATACGTTAACAATTGAGTACTTGTCAACTAGTAAAATTCAATATTTTTTTTGAACTGTCAAAAACGACAGTTTTCTATGAATTTTGTACGAGATTGTGTATTGTGACGTCACGTTTTTTTAGCGTCATACAGCTAATTTATTTAGCTTGAAAAATACCAAAATCAAGTTGGTCATAAAATCAATGTATGAAAGCGTGATTATATTTTTAATATTTTATTGTATTAAACTGTCAAACACCAAGCGGTCACCGGTGACCGCAACCTATTGTTCTATAATTGTGTCTACAAAACCGGTACTCGACGAGTTAAACAGTCGAAATAATTTATTTTTGACTAAGGAAAGTACATAATTAATCAAATACTCGTATCAAATAATATTTATGAAGAAATGAAATAGAAATAAACACTAATGAGTCCATTTGTTTGCTCCCAAGTACAGTTCAATGACTTACTATGTAAGAGGTTGATGGTGTACCAGATGAAGATTCCTTCATCAGAGCCGTCCATGATCTTCACGCCATCAAGAGCCACATCGTACCCCAGTCTGGAAGGAGAACACTGGATATTACTTCCATTGCTTTTGTTATTTGTAGCTTGCCATTTTAAAGTTACACCGATAGCAGGGGCGTAGGTAGCGCCGTATCTTCCATATCAATTATACGGGGCCCCCGAACTACAGGGGCCCCCAACGTGCCTAAGCAAAAATTCATGGAAACTTTATTCTAGTACAGTAATAACAAGAGTTAAAATAAACGTTTTTTTTTTCGTATAAAGCATGCGTTCAAAGGTTGGCAGAAACTTAAGAAAGATAAAAGTAACTAAACTGTCAAACACCAAGCGGTCACCGGTGACCGCAACCTATTGTTCTATAATTGTGTCTATAATGACGGTACTCGACGAGTTAAGGTCCTCTAATTAAAGCAGAGTTGCCTGAAAAGATTTACGGTTTTCACACAAATTTTAAGTATTTTATGTAAAAAAAAATCTCCTGTGAGAAATATATACCCTGGAAGAGCCCTTAAACAAAATTTTATACGCCCCCCCCCCCCCAAGTCACGCTACGCCACTGACCGATAGTCATTTATCTTTTTGTTTATGGAATAAGCCGGTAAACGAACAGATCATCTGATGGTAAGCAATCGGCGCCGTCCATCGACACCTTAAACACCCGAAGCGTTACGAGTGTATTGCCGACCTTTTGGGGATTAGGAATTTGATGATGAAAATTTAAGAATGTTGGGGATTCGGGAGACAAGGATTATTCATAACATAACATCACGCCTTTTATCCCTGAAGGGGTAGGCAGTGGTGCACATTCCGGCACTTAATGCCACTGTACAAAGTAACATCCACTTTTCATATTTATGTTATGAGTCCCTCGTAATAGGGGGTGAGCCTATTACCATAAACCGGTTATTGGTTTCGTTACATATAATCTGCTCTCAAAGCCTCCTCTACATAAGAATGTAATCTATATAAATAAAAATGAATTTCCGTTCGTTAGTCTCGCTAAAACTCGAGAACGGCTGAACCGATTTGGCTAACTTTGGTCTTAAATTGTTCGTGGGAGTCTAGGGAAGGTTTAAAAGGTGAGAAAAATAATTTTGACGGTACGTAGTTCGCCGGGTCAGCTAGTGTGTGATATATATTAATGCCTAGACCAAAACAAGCTAGTATAATAAGCGTATACTTACTGGGATATGGCTCTAGCGACATGGTCGATGAGTTGCTGTGCCTTGTCAGCTGGCAACAGTCGCAGACCAGCCGTGGCTCGAACTATGAGAGGAGTCGACTTCCTCTTCTCAAGAGGTGTGAGGAACTCCGCTTTCTTTATTAATTGCACTATTGTATCTGCACCCTGAAATAAACGGAATGTATGTTATAAATACGAAATAATAAAAAAATATATAAAAAATATTGTCCCATCTAATATATAAAAAGTATACCATAACATAACATAATATCACACCTTTTATCCCCGAAGAGGTAAGCAGAGGTGCACATTATGCCACTGTACAATGTAACACCCACTTTTCACAATTTATGTTATGACTTATGAGTCTCATGTAATAGGGAGTGAGTCTATTGCCATACACCGGGCACAATTCCAGACTCCGTGCTACTACTGAGATTTTTTTTTAAAACCCAGTAATACTTTGCCCGACCACCCGGGAATCTAACCCGAGACCCCTCGCCCGGCAGTCGCACTTGCGACCACTCGGTCAACGAGGCATTCAAAAGTAAAAAAGTATCTATTAAAATAAAAAATAGTGATTTTCGAAAAGAGGTTGGAAATTAAGTAACAATATTTTAGTCAACCGCGTTACTTATGAGGGCTCTAAGCCCGAGTTTTTGACCTGAGTGGGAGTAGTCTTTGTGATGGGACACATTAAACATTCTACCGTGTTCGGCGCTATAGAACAAAAATATAATTTATGCAAAGAGGAAACCAATTTAGGCCATTTGACCTTTTTAAATATGTATACAAACCAGAAAAGAACATAGATTTAATGTAACATAAATCAAGTTTATATTAAACTAGCTTTTACCCGCGGCTTCGCTCGCGTCACAAAAGGATAAAAAGTAGCCTATGTGACATATACCAATACACACAGCGCCATCTATAATCAATCAAATTTTTCCGGTATAAAAAGTACCCTATTATTCAATCCGGACTTCTAACTTTACGTCTGCAAAAATTCACAGCAATCGGTTTAGTAGTTACGGCGTGAAAGCGGAACAAACAAACTCACTTTCCGATTTATAATATTAGTAAGGATACACATTCCAACTTACCTTCGCCGGGTCATCAGCGTAAGACGAGAGTCCGGGTTTGGACTGTTCAAAGTATTCATCTACTAAGTCCAGGTTACCCGGGCCGAATACTGAAACAAAATTATACACTAAATTAAACGTAGATAGATATGAACTTTCACGCTAACTAACCCGGGGAGTAAGCAATAGGTAGTATATACCGAGAACTTTAAAACACGTCGTCAGACTTTTTAATCCTCAAAGGACTATTTTTGTGGGATAAGTCGGTAAACCAGCATACCGATCACTTGATGGTAAGCAATCTGCGCCACTCATCAACACCTGGAACACCAGAGGCGTTACAAGTGGATAGGTGGATTAAAAAACCCCAACCATAACTGGGCCATTGACTATTAATTTAATAATCACATTGCACTGACAAGCCTGGAACCATCCACCATTTTGTGCTTAAATTGACAAAGTTACTTTCGATGTCAAAAAACCTCTGGTATAAAAATTACAGTAATACAAAATAATGACATAACATAACATCACGCCTTTTATCCCCGAAGGGGTAGGCAGAGGCGACATTATACCACTGTACAATGTAACACCCACTTTTCACTATTTATGTTATGAGTCCCATGTAATATGGGGTGAGCCTATTGCCATATACCGGGCACAATTCTAGCCTCCTGTGAATTTTTTGTAAAACCCAGTAATACTTTAACCGACCCAGGAATCGAACCCGAGACCCCTTGCGCGGAAGTTGAACATGCGACCACTCGGCCAATGAGGCAATCAGGCAGGCAGATCAGAGAGACAAAATAATGAAACAGATTAAAAAGAGTAACCCTCGCGTTTCTTGTTAGTTAGTATTTATTTACTTTGGTACGACCAACTCCATACTTCACTGTTGAGTTTAAAATTTCTGTTGAGCTTTAAAAAATATCTACAAAAAAGTTTATTTTTCATACAAAAACTATAACTTTGTAGGTACTCAAAGGACTAATCATAATTTGTAATTAACATAAACTTTGAAATGACAATAATAACATTAATTAATTACTTAACTACATTTCGTAACAACAGCTATTCCAAGACGCTGTTCTCAAAGTACAAAGATACATTACCTATTGTCACAGACATGCGTCACACAATTCCCGCAATCATAAAGACGCAAGAACATTCTCAATTCAGTAATTTAAATAAACAACACAATGGTATCCCAACTGACTAACTAACTAACTACAGAGGATATATTACAATGGACCAGTAGAATAGAAATCTATACTAATACAATAAATGAAGCTGAGAAGTTGGTTTGGTTATTGTTTGAAAGAAATAATGTCTTTATAATAACTACCGTGAGACATACTACATTAACTAAAAATCGCGGATTACTCACATGATTATACTGAGAAAAGCTCTACTAGTTTCGAACGACATAGGGATTCTTTCTCATGAGCAGCGTGCGCGGTCGTGGCGATGTCAGTAGGCTGCGCGACAAGAACCTTCTGTAGTTCGAAACTAGTAGAGCTTTTCTCAGCATATTCACGAGAGTAACCCGCGATTTTTAGTTAATTTAGAACTAATGTCCATAACTATTTTAATTGTGTTGGATAGCCCATTTACCGAAGGTCATGTGCTATAAATATCACGCTGTGGTCAAAAGGAGTCCTCATTTCTGCTTCGACTGGGACTGAGCTGATTGCGAGCTAATATCGTTGAGGTAAAATGTTTGTATTGTATAATTTCTGTTCGTTAGTCTCACTAAAACTCGAGAACGGCTGAACCTTGGAAATCATGGAATCTTGGAATGTTCGTGGAAGTATAAGGAAAGTTTAAAAAGTGAAATAAAAAATTGTAGGCGGTACGAAGTTTGCCGGGTCAGCTAGTAGGTAATCTATTATTTATTTACCTACATAACACATTAATTTGACCCATTTTACGGTTATTTATCAATCTTTTCGTAATAGGAAACGAGATAATTGTAACTTTGTGTTTGACTGCACGGTTGGTGCGGTGGCTGGGCAACCGGCTGCCGTGCAGCGTGCCGCGGGTTCGTATGGAGCAACACTTTGTGTGATCCACAAATTGTTGTTTCGGGTCTGGGTGTCATTGTGTATGTGAACTTGTGTGTTTGTAAACGCACCCACGACACAGTAGAAAATTCTAAAGTGGGGGCAACGTTTTTAAATAAAAAATAAACTTGCAAAAAAGAACTGGACTCGATTAGGTACAAAGTTTATGCCAAAAATATTTGTGGTAGCACTACCATCGCATTCATCCGAAAACTGGTAATGCGTGCGTTTTTACCGACTTCAGAAAAAGGAGAAGGTACTATGTTCGGGTGATTAAAGGATAAGGACTAACGAGTTGTAGTTTCCTTGCAACTGATTGTAGCAACCGATCTGTGTGCAAGTGCGTTGCCAACCATATGCAGAAAACTTCACCCAGTTGTACAGTCTCTTTTTTGTGCCTTCGGGCTTAATTCATTCTGTCTCCTGCAGTCATTCACTAAGGGAGTGGAAACTACCGTTTTTTTTTTGTTGCGTGAGCCAAGACAGTTACTCATGTCCCTAAGACGCGCCGGACTTCAGTGTTCCGGTGTTTTCATGGTTATATCTACTGTAGATCCTGGCTTACAGGAGTTGCAGCGATTTTGGGAGGGTGTGGCGGGCTTGTTCCATAAAAAAAAAAGCAGTAAACTGTCCAATTGCCATTTTTGTAGCAGCAATTTTCCGTATAACATTAACTCATGTTCACACCTATGTATGTACAACTAGTTATAGGAGTTACATAATCCTATGTAATATAACTCGCAAGATAACGGCTACCTGATAAAACGTTAGAAGCTGTAGTTTGTAGTATTGAGTATTCGTAGTTTGGTTACTACCTAAATGATGAACAATTATACAGCATTTGAGTATTTTTTTTTTAAGGTGGGAAAATCATCGAATGACTGCTCCCGTCTGGGTGAGGCGGGTGGAAGTGTCAGACTCTTACTGACTAAAAACCACCCCGTTCCTTCTCCTGCACGTCGAGCCGGAGCCCCGATTACCCGTTAGGTTCTTGAGTGTAGAAAGTAATCATAGGTACAATTGGGTACTTACTAACTAGTCAAATTCAATACTTTTTTTGAACTGTCAAAAACGACAGTTTTGTATGAATTTTGTACGAGATTATGAATTGTGACGTCACGGGTGTTTAGCGTCAAACAGCATAGGTACTTATTTCTTTAAAAAATGCTAGAAAAATACTAAAATTAAGTTGCTCATAAAATCAATTTAATGAAAGTGTGGTTATTTAATATTTTATCGTATTGAACAGTCGAAATAATTTATTTTTGATTAAGTAAAGTACCCAATTCCGAGTATTTTCCGATTGCCTATCTCATAAAGGTTGGAAATACCTATTCAATTGTTAGTTGATAACTTTAAATTTTAATGTACATTTTAAAGTAAGAAAGAATCGATAAGTAAGTTTATTTCATGTACAAAATACGACAATATCACAAATTATTATTATTTAGTGAAATGGTTCAATTTGTGTGTTCTAATTAAATAATGTAGGAAATAAACGTAAATGTTTTGTTATCAACGTTTTATCTTATCAGTTAATGAAAGGTACCTATTAGTTACCTAATCAACAATACCTATTATTTGATTTTATCTCTTGTCAAATATAAGTTCCTTCCATCATACACGTCACATATGTAGATGTTCAGGCATTTATTCTTTCATTAGATAAGTATTATTTTCATAATTCATTCAAAAACTACGTTTACAAACGCAAACGTCAACCTCCTCTTTTTTTGTAGTCGGTTATTTAATATACAACTTTCTCCTATGTCGTCCTATGTATGTCGTGGTGGCCCGGAGGTTTAAGACGCCCACTTCTCATGCATGAGGGTGCGGGTTCGAAACCTACCAACGGCAAGTACCAATGTGACTTTTTCCGAGTTATATGTACTTTCTAAGATTATTTAGACACCACTGACAAACGGTGAAGGAAAAACATCGTGAGGAAACCTGAACTTATAATTTCTAATTATAAGTTTGAAATCGCCAACCCGCATTGAGCAAGCGTGGTGATTAATGCTCTAACCTTCTCCGTGTGAGAAGAGGCTTTGCTCAGCAGTGGGCATTTATAGGCTGTTGATGATGATGATGATGAACTTTCTCCTAAGTTTAACAAACAGTATTCTGGAAACCGTATCAAAATCGGTTCAGCCAATCGCGAAATAATAGCGCACAAAATAATTCGGCTGTTACAAAGTCACCTTATAGCGCATCTTACAATTAAATTTTTCTACAATCACAGTCGTGCCGTGACACAAAAAAAAGCAGATAAAAATGCAATCAAACATGGAATAAGATGGGATATTTCATTGCATAACTAAAGTTTAACTGTTGTTTATGTAACAGTGAACAGAAAGGAGCTGATGGTGATAATAATGATGGACTCACCTGTAAAAGGTACTCTAAACTTATAAGCAAGCACCCTGGATCCCGAAGAGCCGGCGTCGATAATGACCGCGTGATGATAGACACTCTCGTAGCCCAAACTCTTTGCGATGCCGTCCAACCATTGTGACTGGCCAGCAAACAGCCCTGCAACACAAAACCTCATGCTAAATACGATGAACACAGTCTTTGCCTTTACCAAAATAGTTATAAAAAAAAGAAGTGTCAAATTTCCCGCGCTTTTGAATTATTTATTAAAAATTTGTAAAGTAAAAAAAGCTTTACACAATATTAGGAAAATGTTTTGCTTAGTCATGTCGCTTTCGGTATTATCCTGACAGCCTGTCGAAAAGACCACACTGATTGGTATAAGTAAGCGTATTATTTCGTACTTTTTTTAATACGAATAATATAATAAATAAAATAATAAAAAGTGTTTATTGTAACAAAAATCTTAGACACACAGTTTATGAATACTAACATCTAAACTAGGCCGAGCCTTACCTTAGATGTTAGTTCCTTCCAATTGATACAATATATTATTTACAATTTATAGTTTGTAAATGTTTTATAATACCATTGATATCTAATGCACAACCTTGAGAGACAGAAGGGTACCTAATAAAAACATACTGTACACAATATCAAACATTTTATGAATTACCCGCATAGAATGAATTCACTTAAGTATAGTTAAACCACTAAAACAATGAACTTTGATAAAAATAATATTATGTATATATTTTTATAACTTTATTATTTTATTTATTAATGTGTAAAGTGTGATTAATGTTGATAAGAATTTAAGTTTTATTTATATACATATTATAAATAGTGATTATTGAAGATTGTTTCTTTTTCCCGCAAATTGGATATTAGTTAAATTTGCTTAGTAATTAGTGTTTGTTAATTATTTATTTAGTATTAATCTACATACTTTATTATAACTAGTAATACATACATACACAGTAGACCAAAATTGGAAACAATAACACACCAAATTCCTTTTATCTTTTATAACTAGTGTATTGAGTTATTATTACTGTTATATAATTATGTATTTTTAACTTGGTTACTGTAGAACAACAAACAAGTTTTCAATATCTTCATAGTTTTGTTTTTTTAACCAGACTGTTACAACCTTTTTGCAGCAATAACATGTTAAGGGATAAAGGTTAAGTTTTTTATTTACCTAATTTATTGTAAAGCATGGGGCCAATATAGCACTGGAATTTCCTAATAAAGAAAGTGTTGTATAATTCGGATAATATAATTGTTGTACCGTTGAAAAAGAGGTTGTATACGGTTAAGCAGTTAAACTTTTAAGATTATGAACATACGATCTATACCAATGCTGAAGCGTTTGTTTGATTGTTTGCGCTAATTTTTAGAACTAAGTAATGGTCTGAATTCCATAAATCCATAATTCGTTTTGTGTTGGAGCCCATTTATCAAGGAAAGCTATAAGCCATAAAGGATCTCGCAACGAGGGGAGCAACGGTAAAAACGGACTGGAGTAGCTAATAACAAAATAAGAACTAACAGTTCGTTTGTATAGAACCAACTACTACAAGTCTAGCAACACACTTCTGGTGTTGCAAACGTCAATGGCCAACACTTACCACCAAAAAATAACAATAATTTTTAATACGTTACATTACACGGTTCCAAAATTTTATTCATTGTTAAATAAAAATAAGGAATTACAGCTTTTGTGGCGAAAGACAGCGCATAAAGTTAGTACAAGATTATTATTTATTATTATTATCTTACAAGTAAATTGACCATTGATGATAAATAAATAAGTATAGATAGATACAAACGTATGTGAACAGTGTACATAGTTAAGTCTTAACCGTGACACACGCGCGGGCCTGCGGACGGCGAGCATGGGTGGCTCCCCGTCCGACCAGAAACAGACCCGAGCGTACGGCGCGTCGCGTTCCGCGCGCGCCTCAAAGAGCCATCAGACCACCACAGATGGGGCCCAAAAGGGCCGATGCCGATTCGGAGTCGCGGAGAACCTAACGGGTAACCGGGGCTCCGGCTCGACGTGCAGGAGAAGGAACGGGGTGGTTTTTAGTCAGTAAGAGTCTGACACTCCCTCCCGCCTCACCCAGGCGGGGGCAGTCATTCGATGATTTTCCCCCCTTAAAAAAAAAAAAAAAAAAAAAAAACCGTGACACACGATGCCATTTCACGCGAATTAGGTATAATGATAAAAAAAAATGTTTCAGAAATATGAAAACGCATTACACTTCAATGAGTAAATCGCGCGTGAAATTACAAATATTTTTTTGCTGATAAATGGGTCTAATATTACTTAGTTACACAAACATTTATTGGAGATTTATGTGTATTTTCTTTCCTCGTGTAAAAACTCTGCATAATTAAAGAAATGAAGTTTAAATTATTCTCTATTTGAGCTAGTACCTAAGTAATTCTACTTTCTAAAAAGTTTTAACAATCGACGAATTAAGAATTATCAAATTACAACGCAATTACATTACAATTATCGTTTTCAACAAAATAACGAAACTAGAATAACAATGTACCCGTACTGTCGATAAATTATTGAGCTAATCATTACTCGTTATACATAATAATAATATGTATTTACGAAGCTACAATTTCAGGGAAAAACTACACGAAGCATTTACTTAAGTGAGTAGGTATTTAAAGTACATATATATACAAGTCATTGGGATGTTTCCAACTAGTTCATTATTTTTTTTAAATATCCAAAATGAAATTTTTTCAGTGAATTTTGTATGAAAAAGCCACTTCATTTCTCTTAAATTGGATAGAAAAATACGAAAATTATGTACATCACCGAATCAATGAATGGAAGTGTGATTTTTATGTATTCTATGTATTGAGAAAAAAAATTGTCTGAGGAAACATGCCAATTGTCTTACTCTAATAACTCCGAAATAACGAACTACAAAAATATACCTGATAAGAAATAGACTGTACGCACAATATTTGCTGTCCGGGTGTTCATTTCTCGAGCGTCGTAACACCTCCGTTTTCATAGATATGTAACTCTCTGCGGAGCAAACTCTACTGTATCCATTATATATAAAAAATATATAAAATATCATTTTATATTCATATACGCAGGTAAATACACACTTTACGACTTTATTTTTAAAGTCGATTATAGCAAAATTCATAATACAACGACATTGAAACTATATCGACTCGTATTTACGAAACTTGACTCTGTAAACCAGTTATGATATAACAGCCTACGTATAATGTATATTTATAGATTGAATAACTATGTATAATATACATAGTGTACATTATTATTTTTGGTTCACATTTCCGTGATATCTTCGAGGAAAAATATTACGCTCCTGTTCGAAAACAGCGTAAAAAATGTGCGATTTTTTTTTGTCGAACGAATTGTTTCTTTATTTATTTTCTATTCACACTTTCAAAACTAAGGAATATTGTACTTGTGTCTTATTTATGCCTTGTAAGTAATCGTATATATTGTGTATGGTGACAGTAAAGGGAAGTTATTTCGCAGTACCCCTACTCTTCATGCAGGAGTCGTAAGAGCCGACTGTTCTGACTGACTGTTCGAGGCCCGTGGCTAATTTATCGGATAGGCCCCCTTAACGAAGAAGAAGAAAGAAGTTCAGGTGCGACCCTCTGGACGGGGTCGTTCAGCTGGCAGCCCGTTGCATTTAAAGGACTTGCCACCCTATGTAGTTACGCCACTATCTACTACACACTGATAGAAACCCGGCAGTAGTACTCTGACGCCCAGATGCATGAATGTGGTGGAAGCTAAAGTATATAACGAGCGTAACTATGTGGCGCTTTGTAGTTTCTACCCTACTCCATAGCCAGGAGTAGGAGGATGATTTTTTTAGTCAGGAAGAGTCTGACACCCCTCCCGCCTCACCTTGGCGGGAGAAGTCATTGGACGATTTACTCCCTTCTTAAAAAAACCCATAGAACAAAGACGTATGTTTCTATAGTCCGTACTTCGACAACAAGACACTAACTTTTCTACATAACTGCTTATCTTTAAACCTTTATCTAACTGCTTAGTAATTTCAATGTGGTTCTCGATAGCAAACACATTATAGGTGCCTGTCGAAGTTATGATAATGATTTTAGAATTTTGTAAAAGTGTCGTGTTTACAGCATATACGACTGTTGCGACGAATGCCAAGAATGATGTTTTCATCAAAACATAGGATGTTTTATTATTCGCTACCGATTGAGAAAAAGTAATGACTATGTGCTTTATAAGACCTTATAGAAAATAGTATACCAAGCAAATATAATGTATAAAACAAAAAGTATATTGATGTTTATTACTTAATAAACATCACTATACTTTACTGATATCAGTCAGGATCTGATTGACAATGACTGCACGGTTGGTGCGGTGGCTAGGCAACTGGCTGCCGTGCAACGTGTCGCGGGTTCGATTCCCGCACGGAACAATACTTTGTGTGATCTACAAATTGTTGTTTCGGGTCTGGGTGTAATTGTGTATGTGAACTTGTATGTTTGTAAACGCACCCACGACACAGGAGAAAATCCTAGTGTGGGGCAACGTTTTTATTAAAAAAAAAAATAGTCTTGGGTTAGATTATTGGGTCGAGTGAAGTTTAACTCGTCGAGTACCGGTTTTGTAGACACAATTATAGAACAATAGGTTGCGGTCACCGGTGACCGCTTGGTGTTTGACAGTTTAAATTATGCACCTCTGTTTACCCTTACATAGAATAAAAGACGTTAGACTATGAGGCCTACCGTTTTTCTGGTAACCAGACGGCACAAATGTAGCTAGTAGGTTTTTTGTCCAATCACAGCCAGCTTTTTTATTAGGACAAGCCCGCCACAACCTCCCAAAACCGCTGCAACTCCTGTTAGACAGAATCTACAGTAGATGCAACCATGAAAACACCAGAACACTGAAGTCCGGCGCGTCCCAGGGACATGAGTAACTGTCTTGGTTCCCGCAACGAAGTGAATCAGAAGATATTATAAGAGGAGAAGAAGAAAAAACTATGGTTTTCACTTCCCTCGGTGAATTACTGCAGGAGACAGAATGAATTAAGCCCAAAGGCACAAAGAAGAGACTGTACAACTGGGTGAAGCCCAGTCGCCAAGCACCACGGAAATTTGACTAAAAACTAAGTGGGTCCTATGTGTGAGCTGTTATACTTGCTTCCAATAATAGGTATGGCAAAAACGCCTAAACGCACGGAAATTCGTTCTAGATTCCACAAGGTCCGTATAATAAACTACACCTGACGAAACAATTAAATTATTTAACATAGTGTTACGTTCATATTGCCAGAGATCACACTCCCAGAGTATGTGATGGGCCGACTGCTCGTATCGCAACTCCTCTGTCGAACATTGGCACCATGGTGAATCAATAAGTTTAAATGAGAACAATTTGCTTTTAAAGTTGCCGTGGCCAGTAAGAAATTGGGCAACACAGTGATCCACCTCCAACCATGTCCTCTCCAGCCGCTCATGCACGGATGGGAAGAACTGATATAGGTGGCGGCCCTTAATAGAAGATGCCCATCTACACTGCCATTCGGTTATAAGCTCGCCCCAAACGTCCGTCATTGGCTTAAACAATCTATCAATTTTATTTCTATCACGTTGTGCTAGAAAGCTTGCTGACAAATTAGGCCTCGCACTGTAGTACATAGCAGCACGTCGCTGCACCTCAAGATCTACCGGAAGGACGCCTGCGAGCACAGGTAGGGCCTCAGTGCTAACCGTCCTATAGGCCTTACACAGGAAAATCAAGGCTAGACGCTGGCCTTGGAGAAGTTTTCGCCGTACCGCGCCTATTGTGGCCCTATCAGCCCAGACAGGTGCCCCGTAGCACACGCATCCCAGGTAGGTTGCTCCGTATATGATCCTAAGCGTAAGAAAAGAGAGACCCCAGGTGGCCTTGGAAATTCGCGTCAGCGCATAGAAGTTATTTTTGGCTTTCTGACTAATGGCCTTAATATGTTCAATGAAAGAAAAGTTTTTTTCCAATACTAGACCGAGGTAACAAACAGACTCCTTTCGTTTTACGGAAACATTGTTAAATTTAATAGACGGCCATGACTTTAGATTTCCTCACAGCCAGCTGTCAAATATTGAACATCCAATGTGGTGTGGAGTGTATGTGACCCTAGCTCATTCTCCATTAGACAAGCACGATTTGATGAGCAAGAATACAGTAACTCCCATTAATCAGTCTATTTATTTCATACACTCTCTCGTTCATTAATTTCCACGTTCAAATTCACTTAACACGAGCATGCTCCAATGACCTTACGTGTCGACGTAATTAGTCCACCGTGCATGAAGGGAGAACAAAAAGGATGGGTGTGTACGCACATATATATTATATTGTGTACCTATTGACCGTGACTAATAAAGGACCAAACTGATTGAAACAACTTGGTAAGGAAGATAATAGGACACGACTTTGAATATAATCTTTGTAACTGAGTCCAGTAGAGCATAAGTTTTACGGCCGAAATGTTTAATGTATCTAAGTGTGGGAAAGCCATGCTTCCAATGGACTGGCTCGAACGGAGTGATACCACGGCCTCACAGAAAACTGACGTGAAACAACGTTGCGTTGCGTTTCGTCATGTGAGTCAGGTTACCTCCTGCCCCAATCTCCCCAATCCCTGAATCCCCAACAATCCTCAAAAGGTTAGATTAGCCTCTGGTGTTACAGGTGTCAATGGATGCGGTCGATTGCTTACCATCAGATGATCCGTCTGATCATTTACCGGCTTATACCTACCATTAAAAAAAATATTATTCAGTTTATATCTATACGTATATATAATTAATTATAATTGCTTTAAATATAGCTTAATTCGATTATGTAGTACCTATTATGATTAATGTTGTTTGTTTGTTTAAAAATAGAATGAGCTAATCTTATCTTCAAGAAATCTGTTATTCAGGATGACTAAAAATAATTTCAAAATCTCCTTAATCTGTGTAACAGAGTCATGATGAAATACAGGTATAATGATGAATGGGACAAAATTACATAAACCCCGGAACTAACATTATAAGCAAATTATTTTACGATAACGATATTTTAAATTTTTAAATCATTCACAATCGAAATCGATAAGAAGTTTACAATCATGTAGTACAATGACAGTTTATTTTTTAAACATAATAATATCATTGTTGCCAACGTCAATATTTTCGCAACACGTGACTTCACTGAGCAGTTGTGTTGGAAATTGAAATAAATAAATAAATATCAACCTATAGCTGTTTCACAGCCGATCAAATGCATCTTGTCTTATGGACTATTATTAACTGTCCAAACTTTTTGAATGGTTATTTGTCTCATTGTCTGTCTGTTTTTTTTAATCCTTATTAGCCATAGGAGGAGGCATAGGAGCCTCCTTTAAGGTTTAGAGGAGAATAAAGTCCCTGGGTCCCCCTCTCCCTGGGTGAGGCGGGAGAGAGTACCAGAGTCTTAATAACGAAGGGGCTTAATTGAAGATCATAAAATAAATGAGAGATGCGATAAATTTAGGCCATTTGCAAATCGTGGGAATTATGGCAAGGTCCATCTAAAAAGATGGCTTTCTTCAACAATGGATGTACAGTTATCGGCAGTTATTTAATATGCAGGTAATAAAATAAAAATTTACTCAGTGCCGAGACAGTAGCTATCAAGCCAAGGATACACTACCAGCGACGTCGGGTGAAGTAGCGCGACGATGTCCACATGTCTGGCAACATCAACTCACTGTGGACATAAGTTGCACGTTGTCACCGTATATGTCAGGCGACATCGGCCGGCTTCGCTGGACATGTCGGTGTCACCGTATAAGTCAGGCGACATCGGCCGGCTTCGCTCGACATGTCGGTGTCACCGTACAAGTCAGGCGACATCGGCCGGCTTCGTTCGACATGTCGGTGTTACCGTAGTGTCACCGTATAAGTCAGGCGACATCGGCCGGCTTCGCTCGACATGTCGGTGTTACCGTAGTGTCACCGTATAAGTCAGGCGACATCGGCCGGCTTCGCTCGACATGTCGGTGTCACCGTATAAGTCAGGCGACATCGGCCGGCTTCGCTCGACATGTCGGTGTCACCGTATAAGTCAGGCGACATCGGCCGGCTTCGTTCGACATGTCGGTGTCACCGTATAAGTCAGGCGACATCGGCCGGCTTCGCTCGACATGTCGGTGTCACCGTATAAGTCAGGCGACATCGGCCGTCTTCGTTCGACATGTCGGTGTCACCGTATAAGTCAGGCGACATCGGCCGGCTTCGCTCGACATGTCGGTGTTACCGTATAAGTCAGGCGACATCGGCCGGCTTCGCTCGACATGTCGGTGTTACCGTATAAGTCAGGCGACATCGGCCGGCTTCGCTCGACATGTCGGTGTTACCGTATAAGTCAGGCGACATCGGCCGGCTTCGTTCGACATGTCGGTGTAACCGTATAAGTCAGGCCATATCTTTTGTAAACATTGGTCGGTTCAGTAACAAACCAATGGTTATTGTCTCTGTAAATAACTGCATGTGCTGACTGTAGGTACTAAAGTTAAAGTTACTTGAGTCCCATGAGTAACACAATACATGAAAATAACTCTTTGGCTATCATGACCACACAATGATTGCAATTTTCTTTTTTTTTTCAAGTATATGAGTATACGTAGATTGCTTTTACTGTTATGGTGATTATAGTCGCATCGGAATGCTAAGCAAATCAATTCGTTACCTATATGACACCTATACGTAATAAAAAAGAGGTGGTGGATTCTGGTGGCTACAATCACATTTTTTAAACATTGCCGTCTCCTGTGTCGTGGGTGCGCTAACAAACTTACAAGTTCACATACACCTGACACCCAGACTAGGAATAATTTGTTTTCGAAAATCGCGAATGAGAAAAAACGGGATGATGCATATGAAGAAGAAGGCCAGAGATAAATAGTTTAAAAAAATGATACTTTACTATTTAAACATTCATTGGTAGTCAAATACTTGAAGATTGAAATAAACAGACAAAGAAATAAGTAGCTATAAGATTTGTGTGATATTATGCCAAAGAATACATATCCTAAAATAAAATCACTAAACAGAAAACTAGATAAGTCTATGTAACTTAGAATAATTTGTGTTTCTTTATACTGTCAAACATCGAGCGGTCACCAGTGACCGCAACCTATTGTTCTTTAATTGTGTCTATAATGACGGTACTCAACAAGTTAATTGCAAATCTCCAGAACCACTGAATCAAATCCAATAATCTTTTTATTGGACATGTTATTGTTAGAAGGTTCTTATGTAAGAATAAAGTCACAAACATTTTCAAGGCATACCTAAGTTCGCAGACATGCTAGCTTGCTATAAAACTAATGTCCATGAGAACAATAATATATTATATACATTATGGGCTCACATGCAAGTAATAATAAACAATAAAAGTACTTAATGAGACATGCAAACCACATAATAATTGCCATACAATCACAATACCTAAAAAGAAACATGTGCATATCATGCCTCTTTGGTAGCATCAAAAAGTTAATTGTTTTTGTTTTTAAATTACTGTCATAGATAATCCATTTTTTTTATTTATTTTTCAACAAATGCATGCATTGAATTTCTTTTATTCAGTCAATTATGTTCATGCTTTTATAGAGACAAATTAAACTTTTGCATAGAAATAACTTAACTGTGGCCTTTCTGCCGTCTTCACTGTTTTAATTTTTTTTTTGTGTTATTGCACTTTGTGACTAAACGAAAACAACACGCAAATAAACAATTTTTCTTTCTTTTAAATAACTGCATAAGCTCTTTTAGGGAAGAGTGGCAAGAAATAATAATTATAATATATCTTTGAGATTGCATACTTGTCTATTTATTTAAATAACTAGTCTTAAAATCACAAGTATGTTTAGTGTAATACACACAAAATAATTTTGTATGTGTCTGTTGGTTTTCTTTACTCCTACAAAACCTATGCAACATTTTGTACACACATTCATAAACATTATTCCAAATAATTATACTAAAAAAATATAGCAATAAAAACTACTTACCCAAAAAGTATGTGATGCATAATGCCAATATTATGAGGAAAATAAAAATCTTCTTCAATTTCCGTGTGTGCTTTATGGTCCTACTTCTAACGTTGATATGTGGAGCTGCGGTATCATCTTTTAACTGAAACACAACATTTATTACACTCCTTACTACTTTTTTTATTATTTTCCGCATCATAACAACACTTAAAACACGAGTCTACTGCATCTACAGATTTTTTTATTAAACAGATATTTTCTAATAACATAGAGAATGAAACATGTTAGCCACAAAGTAATAGGAAGTCTATAAAAAAGTAATTGAACATATACAAGGTAAATAAAATTGTAAAAAACCTGCAGTAGTTTGATAACATGGTATCGAGAGTTTGGACGGAAGTACGACTGGTGGCTACCAAAATATTTGACCAAAAATACATATACAGGTAACAGAATGTTTTATTGTATAAAAACTGTGACAATATGTATGTTTTTTCTTAATATTAGTCAGTATTTGCTTTTTTTCGGCTGAAATACGCACCTCTAAGTATCTGTACGTGAATTTTCCCATGTTGACTTAAAATAAACATCACAACCACTAAACTAGATAAGTCAATACTGTTTTAGCTGAAATATATCTGGCCATACGAGGACATTGTTAAACATTTATGTTTTTTGAAAAGAACAGGAGAAACAACGTCACATTAACACTAATAACAATTTTTGGTTGTGTCAATCAGTGTCAATGGTCATATTCAAGTCAGACAGATTTGCTCACTGATTGACTGATTGGAAATTGGAATGGCAGTTGGCAGTAACACCGACAACTGTCATCTGTCAAATAGAGTTGTACTAAGAATAATAATCGAATATGATGATCTAATTTGATTCCTAATCGACTATTTGGTTCAAAAAGCTTTGTTATCATTCTATTTCATAATCATATCATAACTGAACGAAGTATTCAGGGAAAACAATGGAAAACATTTGGGCAAAATTATTTTTATTTGATCAACATTCAGGATATTGTGTTGAATGAGTTTATACATAAAAAAACATGTACCCAAATTCTGGAAGAAGTAATTTTAAAATGAAGCAAAAAAGAGTACTCATTTGACAAATTGGGGAGACCTCAAACCAATATACCATCATCTGGCAACACTCTCACGATCACGACACGACCATCGTATTTTGTCAATATATATGTGGTACAATAAATATTTTTATATCGAAAAATAATAATTATAAATGCTCGTGGATGTGTTGTGTTCTTCTGGGTTCCCCAACTTCCACGGTCATAAAGTAATTCAACATTATTAGTTTGTTCAAGTGCGACAATTTAAATAACATGACGTGTTTAAATAAAGTAAAATTCGATGTTTAAAATTACTACCTACTTTATTTAATAAACTAGCATAGTAACTAAACGTTAGTTATCATATTCTAGACTAAAGTTTTTAAACTTCGGTGTCGGTATTCGAAAAAGTTAATCAAACATATTATAATTAATAAAAATATCCATAAAAGGATTCCAGTTGTATGAGAAAGGTAAGTTTTATAATTTATAATTTGAAAATTTTCAATACAACAGGTATTTATTAGTTTATTGTATAAAAATCATATATAGGTACTGTTGAAAAACATAACCTCAACATAAGTAGCAAACATTAAAATTCTTGTCACAGAAAACGCAAGAAAACCCTTAAATCAATAAATCATTTCAGTGTTCCGGTGTTTTCATGGTTGTATCTACTGTAGATCCTGGCTTACAGGAGTTGCAGCGGTTTTGGGAGGTTGTGGCGGGCTTGTCCCATAAAAAAAAAATCATTTCAACTGTGGAAGTGTTAATTGTGCAATATTTATGTGTATAATAATAAAGTCCAACTCACCTTTCTTTGGCGAATCTGCATTTTTTTTTAATTTATTTATTACTTCCGCAATAGACACACAACAATTTATAAGTTCCGGTATGCAGTTAACTATTGTTTTTTCACTAATTTTTAATACATAAAATTCACCTTATTAGACACCTCATTGACAACTAGTTAGAATATGAATTAACTTTACATAAGCTTATCAAGTAATAATTATCGTAACCTTGATATAAGTATTACGTATGTACGTATTTTTATTGTAATCACAAGTACATAACAGACGTGCGCATCACATAACGCCACAGACTATACAAGCGTGTAATATACAAATAGACAATTTGGTCGGACAAGTTTACTTCGGTAAATAGTAATGATGACTGCGCGTCATTGGTAGCACTTTATAACGGGCGAGTTTATCGTTAATTTATCATGACTTTGTACTTTTCTTAGTTTAGAATGAGATTATCGTGAAGTAGGTAGCCGTCTAGTAATCTTAGAATTCAAACGTAATGCTGATAGGATCGGCCAGCAGATAGGCAGCTAGTTTATAGAGAAATTAAATGATTTTGACCTTACATGTCAACTCGATTTAGTAGCTGGGGAGTGTTGAAGATATTATTATATCTATTTTGATAAATAGGTAGGTACATCACACATTTGTCTATTTAAATAAGGAAATGCATGATATCGTGTAATTTATGTATACATTTACGTGGGAATTAAATATTACCCATTGTATTTTAATAGAAAATTCGTACCTGAACATAACCAGTTTTCTTATTTCTTATGCCTAAACGTTTAAAATGTAAACGATAATATATTTTCTAAATGGTACTTCTACTTACAAGTTTTTATTAAAAGCAACAACTTTAATCTAGAATAAGAAATTAATAATAAAAGTTAGCTCGTAATAGATCGGTACTTCGCAGGTTGTACCTACTTTTATTTGCCTACCCTTTTTTTAAGAGGGGATAATCATCGAATGCCTGCTCCCGCCTAAAAAAGGCGGGAGCAGTCATTCGATGATTTTCCCCCTTAAAAAAAAATCCGTAGTTACCTGTAAATTTTTCTATAGATTTTTATATCGTTTGTTTAGTACTGATGCAATAAGATGTAAGAACATCATATATTGCATGATACTAATCTCAAAAATGACGCAATATATCGATCTTTTGTAGCTAAAGTAGGTAAGTAACTACGTAAGGTACAAACAAGGTGTTTATATATACTAGCTAATTTGTACATAACACGAATATGTGCAGGCCAAAGATATGGGAGGCCTTGACATTAAGTTTTAAAAAAAACAGCTCGCTAATTATATCTCATCATCTATAGATACATATGTATAATAAACCTGGTAGCTATAATATTTGCGGCACTACATGGTCTCCTAATTTAAGAAAAAAAGCCTATTCTTGTTAAACTTGTCCAAAGATGTATTAAAATTGTATCTGCAGTGGTTACTGCGGTTTATAAAGAGGCGTAGTATGCTTAAACTTAAATATTTGTAATTATATTACTAATGTACATAATTACGGAATCAAACACCTACTTATTCGCTTATCTTAGGTGTAGGTATAATTATATACTCTTACATTATTATAATGTAAGAGTCCAATCGGCCAACACCAAGACTAATTCAAAAGCAAGCTGGGTAATACACCTACAAATAACGATACTTTTTTTTAAGGGGGGAAAATCATCGAATGACTGCTCCCGCCTGGGTGAGGCGGGAGGGAGTGTCAGACTCTTACTGATTAAAAACCACCTCGTTCCTTCTCCTGCTTCTCCGGAGCCCCGGTAACCCGTTAGGTTCTCCGCGACACAAATAACTATACTTAGAATTCATCACCATCAGCACTCCTATTTTACAAAGACTAGGCAGACACAATGAGCCCCTCCCTTATCCGTTCATGTTCAATGTAGGTTATATATCTAACCGTATACCAGTGTTGGGCAAATCAACTAATTTATTCAATCAATTGATCAATCATGATTAATTTAGTCATGACTAATTTAATCATAACTAACGAGAACAATCATTAGTCATGACTAAATTCGTTAATCGCAAATCACCAATCATTAGTTTTAATCATGAATGTATGACTAAGCTCGATGCACAGGTGTTGGTACACTACACATACAGGGTATAAGGATCAGCTGACCGAAGTCTCAGACCATTATCTTGAGTAAAGTACTGAAGGAATTAGGTACGGAAATGAAAAAAATTTTTGACTCTGCATACAAAATATTAAAGTCGGCTGCTAATAGAATATAATGTATAGAAAGGCCAAAATTTTTTCTTTTCCGAGAAAAAATTCCTTCGGTCCGTTACTTAGGATGATGATCTGAGTCCATGGTTTTACTTTGGTAAGCCATCCTTTACACCCTATATTATATAGCTTTCTTAAATATATTATTTGTGTTTATAAAGTTCAATACAGTTACACTGAGATGATTAATAAATAAATAAAATAATACAAGTGTAATTTAGTTAGTCTTATAATCGTTAAAGCAATACGATGACATCATTTACTTTTCGAAAAACAAGTAATAAATTACATGATTACAGTCAGATGAGGTACGGGACCCTAAAAACTACTAAAGTTATAGAAGGTGTTACAAAAAACCCCGTTATACTGAAAACCATTTCTCCGTATCATAAGATTTTACCAGGGCATCTATTTATCTGACCACCAAAAAATACTGGAATTAAAGAAGAGAAAGCAGAAGGTGTTAAAAAGAGAAAAGAAGAAAGAGAACAAAAGAAATTGGAAAAAGAGAAGAAAATGGTAAAGAAAAACAAAAAACAAACTAAAGCCAAAGACAATGTGTCCAAAATTTTGTTTTCGGAAGATTTCTATAAACTTGACAATGACAAATTGGAAGCTTTACCTAAAAATTTTAACAAAGAAAACCAAAAAGCAAGTACTAGCAAAAATTACAGTGCTGCTGAGATAGAAAAAATGTTGACTGAGACTGATTCAGATGATTAACGTTACTTAAGAATTACTTACTTGTATGATCTCAACCAATTAGAGCTGTGATTTAATTAAATATAATTAAGGAAGTTACATAGTCTTAAGCTAAAATTGTTCTATTTTTTGTTCAAGCCTAGGTAGAAGGTTTTTTTGGTTTTGTTTTAATACTTTATGTAAAGTTGATTTAACTATAAGCGTTTCAATTGATATGGTATGTTCCTATACAAATAAATGTTACTTTTCTTAACAAAGGATTTTATTTTGTTTATTTCTATTATGAATTATCTTAAAATAGGTACATAGACGATGTAAAATACGTTTTAAAACCCCTACATAAGACCTAGCAGCTATTTTTCAGTTTTGGGAGAACAGTGACAATAATAGGTAATAATCACTGCCAATAAAAGGTTTGGCTATGCCAGCAACTGGTGTTTGAGGCATTTTTTTTAAAAGTACATTATATTAAAGAAAACGATATAATTTATTAATGACAAGTACTTTATAATATTCTGCAGAGATTAGAAGACCAATATGAATGCTTTTGTCTTTGTTAAAACATATTTTTATATGAAAATTTTACCGGTTTTGTGAAGAAGCTGCTTAAAGTGCCAATAATTGGGTGGTTTACCCT